GATATACAGCCTTGTTGTACTCCTTTCCCCATTTTGAACCAATCTGTTGTTCCATATCCAATTCTAACTGTTGCTTCCTATCCCACATATAGATTTCTCAGGAGACAGATAAGGTGGTCAGGGTTAGGATTAGAGTTAGCCTAAGCCTAACAGCATCATCTTTCAAAATTTTAAATAGTTCATCTGGAATGCCATCACCTCCACTGGCCTTGTTGTTAGCCATGCTTTCTAAGGCCCACTTGACTTCACTCTCCAGGATGTCTGGCTGAAGGTCAGCAACCACACTATCTGGGTTGTCCGGGACATCCAGATCTTTCTGGTATAATTCCTCTGTGTGTCCTTGCCACCTCTTCTTGATGTCTTCTGCTTCTGTAGTAAGATCCCTACCATTTTTGTCCTTTATCATGTCCATCTTTGCACAAAATATTCCTTTAATATCTCCAATTTTCTTGAACAGATCTCTGTTTTCCCCTTTTTATTATTTTCTTCTATATCTTTGCATTGTTCATTTAAGAAGGCCCTCTTGTCTCTCCTTGCTATTCTTTGGAAGTCCATATTCAATATTCTGTCACTTTCCCTTTCTCCCTTGCATTTTGTTTCCCTTCTCTTCTCTGCTATTTGTAAGGCCTTGTTGGACAGCCACTTTGCTTTCTTGCATTTCCTTTTCTTTGGGATGGTTTTTGTTGCTGCCTCCTGTACAATGTTACGAGCATCCTTCCATAGCTCTTCAGGCACTCTGTCCACCAAATCGAGTTCCTTAAATCTGTTCTTCACTTCCACTGTGTATTCAAAAAGGATTTGGTTTTTTAAATTATACCTGACTACCCCAGAGGTTTTCCCTACTTTCTTCAGTTTAAGCATGAATTTTGCTATAAGAAGCTGATGATCAGAGCTACAATCAGTTCCAGGTCTTGTTTTTGCTGACTGTATAGAGCTTCTCCATCTTTGGCTGCAGAGAACATAATCAATCTGATTTTGGTATTGCCTATCTGGTGATGTCCATGTGTAGAGGCACCTCTTGTGTTGTTGGAAAAGAGTGTTTGTGATGACCAGCTTGTTCTCTTGACAAAACTATATTAGCCTTTGCCCTGCTTTGTTTTGAACTCCAATATTAACACAGGAAGGAACAAAGAAATCATAATTTTTGGTGTATTAATATGTTAATGATGCAAACAAATATGTCCATTTCAGTGGGATATCGAAGTGGAGTGAGAACCCCTGTGCATGTGGAGCATGCAACGACATAGCCTGGAGAGCCATGCACAGGTTATTATTTGGTGGAAACAAGTGTGTAGTTATTATTTTAGGAATTGTTTTTTCATGATCCAATGATAATATGCTGCTAGAAAGATTTGTCCACCACTGTCTCTTGGTACTACCTTGTGGAGGATGGTTGCCCATGATAGGCACTTGCTGGGCAGTGCCCTTGATGAACTATGGTCACCACCAACATAACTGCTCTCTCTCTCTCTTTCCCCCATTCCCTCCCTGGCCATTGAACTCTGAACTACAGCTCAAGAAGCAACACGCATCTATTACTTTTATTTATTTATTTATTTATTTATTTGTTTGTTTGTTTGTTTGTTTGTTTATTTGTTTATTTGTTTATTTGTTTATTTGTTTATTTGTTTATTTCCTGTTCCATTAGCACATGCACTACTCTGGGCAGTTGACAAGTTAAAAGCTACAAATTTCAAAAAGTTCACATGGCAATAAATATAAATATGGCATTTTAAAAAATCATAAAACAAAACAAAAAAGAGAAAAAAAGAGAACAAGAAAAGAAAGAGAACATATTACCAGCATCCAGAAGACTCAGATGTTAAAGGCAGGTTTGAATACGTAGTTCTGGTTTTAACAGTTTACTGAACATAGGTTTCCTGAACAGTTTCCTAAACACTGCCCATGAGCTGCAGCAACCTCCTCCGCGCCCTTCAAATTCCCACAGAGATCATGTATTCCCTTTATTTTGTGACAAAACAGACTCCTACGGGCAGTGTTTTAAAGTAAAGTAACCCACATCAAGGTTACTTTGCCTCCTTAAAACGAAGTACTAGGCTATGGAACATTTGGTAAAATGCAATTATGATCCTTTGGATAAGCCTTCAGATAGCCATTTCCAACAGATATAGCTTCAGGGACTCTCAGATTAGTGCATGCCATAGGAAACAAATTGTGCAGCAGATGCAGGTGCATGTTAAACTTTCTGAACAGGCCATTGCAACTACAGTAGCCAACTTTTGCTTCCCACTCTTAGGTCCATGGACGATGCACGTGCAAACACAATACTGCAGGAACTCATTGCCAGCACTGTGCTCCTCTCTATAATGACCAGCCCTGGCAACCTGCAAATGGCAAAACAGGAGCCCCAAATGAATGTCAATGTAAGTACCTAGTACTAATTAATGGAAGTGCTTCCAGTCTGCTAGGAATGAAGTGGAATTCCTTTCTACACATATTCCAAAAATGCAAATGAATCTGTGTTGAAATGAATCAGGAAGATAAACACAATTTACATAGAGTTAAAATTGATAACATATCACATTTACAAAGATATCAGGACAAAATTTTATTATAAAAGTACAATCTGTTCAGTATCCTTCTGGAATCCAGGTCTGCTTATTTTAATTTTCATAGGGGGAAAAAGTGCTGCTAATACAGTATACTGCCCCATACACTTTGAACACTCTCTAGGCGGTTTATAATCTAATTATTACAATCCACATATTGCCGCCGCCACCACCCCACCCGCAAACTGGGTACTCAATTTACTGACCTCAGAAGGATGGAAAGTTGGGTGAACCTTGAGCTGGCTTACTGAAACTGTTGAAATCAAACTCAGGTCATGTGCAGAGGCTGTAGAAGCCTAAATAAATTGTAAAGGTAAAGGTAAAGGTTCCCCTTGACATTTTTAGTCGTGTCCGACTCTAGGGGGCGGTGCTCATCCCATTTTTCAAGCCATAGAGCCAGCGCTTGTCCGAAGACAGTTTCTGTTGTCACGTGGCCAGCGTGACTAGGGAGCGCCGTTTTACCTTCCCACCGAGGTGATACCTATTTATCTACTCGCATTTACATACTTTCGAACTGCTAGGTTGGCGAGGAGCTAGGACACAGCGAGGGAGCTCACTCCGTCATGTGGATTCGATCTTACGATTGCTGGTCTTCTGACCTTGCAGCACAGGCTTCTGCGATTTAGTCCACAGCGCCACCACGTCCCGTAATTGTACCAGACATTAAATTCTCCATGCCCATTTCATCTGAGGAACACAGAAGTAACAATAATTATAGTACCACTAAATAAATTACAGTAAGTCACATCCCACCTAAACCTGATCAGATCTAACATCCTTTAATTATTTGAATTCTGAATTTCCACCTGGGGAAATCAGTTGCAGGAATTTCTCCCTTTATGTTTGCTGTATTAGAGTAGTTAGGTATGATGAAATAATTTGCACCTTTTAGAAGCATCTACAAACTATCATATGCATTTAATTGCATTACTTACAACTATTACTATATGTAATCATGTTTTAAATTATTATTTTAAAATAGCAATTTTAATTTGTGCTCTTGCTTTCCTTTGTTGTCTTTCAGCCTGTAAATGTAATGGGCATTCTGATGCTTGTCACTTTGACATGTACACGTGGCTGGCATCAGGAAACCAAAGTGGTGGAGTCTGTGATCATTGTCAACACAATACTGAAGGACAGCACTGCCAGCATTGCAAACCAGGCTACTTCCGAGACCTCAGGAGGCCTTTCTCTGCCCCAGATGCTTGTAAATGTAAGCCAGTATCAACTTACAAATGTGAATGCTCAAAGAGTTTTGTCATTAATTCTTCTTATATTCTAGCCAAAATGCTCTTTGTCATGAACACATCTGTATATGGAGAAAATGGTTCAGTGTTTCAGTAGATGACCCTCCTCTGGCTCACAGCAGTTCATTAGTTTATTCACAAGTTGGAATCAAATATGAAGCTGACAATAGAGTTCAGTACTGAGAATTCATTATATTTAGTTCTGGACAGTTATAATGAAGCTAAAATATTAAGAGGATATCCACACGTTTCCAACATTTCCCTCCACAGGTCTGTTTTTGACCTTCTAAATTGGGGGTGGGGTGGGCCAAGTCTGAGGACTTGGGGTGCCAAATTTAAGTCCTCATCCCTTACCATGAGTTGGACCAGGCTGAAAATGTCAATTTTAAATAAGGGGGAGGGGGAGTCTGTGCTACTCCTGGTGATTTTTAATTGGCAAAAACAGGTCATCCCTCACCTTTTTTTTAACCTTGGGGAAGTTAATATCTTGCCCATCACAAAACATAATAGGGCCTGGCCTCCCCCTTCTATCTCTCCTGTATTTCGGTGTACAGAATGCGAGAATGGCCGAGTCCTCAAGTAGAATAAGTGAGTCAAATGGCTGTTCCCTTCCCTCCCAGATGTGCCCTTGTTTCTCTGGGGAGCTGCTGTGCTATTTGCAGTTCCCCCAGAGCCAGCTGCTTCTGAGACACTTCCTTTGGCGTGTTCCCAGTCCAAGGCTATGGGAAGTATGACTAGTTCACCCAAAAAACACAAATCATCCCAAATCTACCCAATTAGGCACTCTTTGGAGGCACATATTCTGGGTACTAGATGGCAACAACTTCTTAAACATAGCAGCTATGAATATGAGGATGGCAGTCACTGCTATGCCAGATGGATCTGTGACGGATCAGTTCACAAATTACATTTTGCCAAGAAGTGCAACAACTGCTTAAGTCTCTTTCAGCAAAGGACTGGTGAATTTCATCTCCGTTCCATCTCTAAAAATACAGAAAATGGTGCAACAATATATAAATATTGTGAAATATTTTATGCACAGAAATTCTATGTAAATAATAAAAACGTTCTTCACCATGCAGGTTCTTCCCTCAGACTTTCTGTACTAACTTCCTCTTCCTGATTAATGAGCTCTCTCTGCAAGATCTACTGATTCAAGTGAAATTCTTCTCAGCTGTTACCTCCAAGGCATAATGAGTTTTATTCCTGGGCAACCATCCCAGTTTCATCTTCAGCTGCTATCATGTGTAAGAAGTCCACAACCGTGGGGTCCAAGGGGCACATGATAGAGCCAACAGAAGAGACAAATATTTCCTGCATGAGACAGTTCAGTCACAGCCTCCCTGCCCCACTTGTCTAAAGTGTGAGGAGCTTTTTGGATAGCTCCGGCTGAAAGTTTGCACTTTGAGGAGGTTAAACAGAGATTACAGTCTCAACAGAAAAAAAATGGCCCTTGCTTCCTGCTGAGTCTGTGCCTAGAATAACAACATGTCTGATAACCTTTTATTTCTTTATGGTAGGCAAGGGGATTCTGTAGCTATTAGCAGCCCAAGTCAATTCTATTGGTCAGTCACTGGGGAGTAATGAAAGAAAAAGCTCCAAGGTCAATGAAAGAGCTGTTTAAGCCTCAATCCTTAGCCAACCCTAATCATATGCTTTAATGAACAATGTGTAATATTTGCTTAGGCATCAGTATACACAAGATAAAACAGGGCATTCTCTTTTTTTAACATGATAAATGACAGCAATCTGCTTGAAAGTTACATAGATTGCTTCCCCTTCCCCACTTTAACAATTGTTGTGAGTTTTTAAGATGGATACAATGTTAACTTAGGAATGATAGATACATACTGTAACTGTATTTATTAAGTGTACCTTGCAATTCTACAGCATTTTGGACCTACATCCAAAACTGAGCTGGGGATTACAATAATCAGATCAAGGGCATATAAATCATTTATTCCCTGTATTCTGAGCCCAAAGGCTTTAATATTCTTTGTTTCCTTATTTGTATCAGAACATTGCACAATTTAAAATTATGGACGTATGTGAAATATAGGTAAAATTAAAAAGAAATTAAAAAGTTAATTAGATTGGTTTTGACCAGAAGTGGGCTACTTCAAAGCATTATCTTGGGCATCTGCTAGATCCTCTTTTGTGGTGGGACATAAATTAGATGCACAGAAGTGCTGTACAGATTGAATTTCTCCACAGTCACAGAAAATTTGTCCTGTATCCAGTAGCCCCATTTTACTTAATTATTCTTTGATCTTACTTCACTTTGAAGTCTCTTAAGACCTCAATACAGAAACAGCTAAATATACATTGAGAGCTCATAACTGTTGATTACACAATGGCTGATATCCAATGGTGTAGTCCTGCTGGATAGCATTGCTTCTGACAGAACTGGTAGTCCACTTTCTTTCCTCTCTTCTACAGCCCAAGGCCTGCTCCAGAGTACTAAAGCAGGTTTTTGGTGCCAAGAAGGTTGCAACAGGAGGCAGAGGGCAAGAAAGTCCTGATTCTGCTGGTGCTAGATGCACTCCATTATGTCCTCATTTCTCTCTCTTTTTTTAGTGATTTGGGGATCATACTTAATAGAATCGCAGGACTCTTCCAGTTAGTCATGGTTTCCCTTTATGATCACCATCAAGCATAGACCTTAACGCAGTTTTACCCACCAGCCAATTAATGTTCCACTTATGTCAGTATGTATGAACAGGGTTATTTCTGTATACACTCTTGCACCTTTTTGTCCCTCCCAAATCTCTGTGTATGTTTTTTTCTTGTGCCTCTTTGTCATATTTCCTTTCTTTGCTAGAAGCTTTCCTTTCCTTTTCTTTCAAAAAATAGAGAGTATGGTGACTTTCTGCTATGATGCTCCTCTAATAGAGAGAGAGAGAGAGAGAGAGAGAGATGGCAAAAAATGGCAAAGCAGGGATAGGAGGAATTCAGAGGTACAGATGACACAGCCATAGAAGCATCTGGAGAGAAGACTCAGCTGACACCAAAAGAGGACACTTTTTCTAAGTGGTGCCAAGAGGTACAACAAGGGATGAAAGCAAAAGTAAAGAGAGAGGGAGGTAACTTCAAGGAAGCTGCAGCTATTCCCACCCCACTACCCAAGGAATCTTGAGTGGAGAGCCAGTTCAGTGCCAGATCACTCATCATCAGGACTCATCCCCAGGAAACTCCATAAATTATGAAAAAAAGCAAGCAAGCAAATAAACACAAGTACATATGTATGTCCTGTTTGGGAAAGTCATTTAATACATATTGGCCAAAATGCTAGTTTTCTCGGAGAACACTCTCTTATGCTTTCCATCCCACCATAATACAACTGACAGAAAGATAAGTAGCAGAAGAGAGGATCCAAGCAATTTTTATGCTGTAGCCTCTTTGAATTCAATGGAATTCATCTCTGATTTATTATAGACATACTAAAGATGACGCTGTTAATGTTAACATTTATATGGCAATGAAATTATGCAGTGCAGAAAGTTTAACAAATGCACATTGTGAGGACAAACCTAGAAATGACTGTGATCAATCTATCTAAACGTGGATCTACACTAGTCACAAACAGAAAAGAAGTAAAGATCAAATGTTATATAAAAGGTGGGTAAATGAATCAGGAGTACACAAGTCCATGCAGTTTTGACTCTTCAACTCATTCCTGAGAATATGAACATGACTGTTATAATCAAAAATAGAGGTGATATGATCCTACCCCAATTTTGTGGACTTATTTTCAGGATACAAACGAGGATATCTTTTCAGCTCCTCCTCCCCTAAAAATGTGAGGGACTGTTTACTGTGATGTGTGTGTGCAAACTAAAACTAGGGGCAATGCGTTTCTTCCTATTTTCCTGCTCAACCGAAAGCTTTCCAGGTGGAGCTGCAGTCTACTGCACGTGGAAAGGAGGCACCCTTCCCCCTGGACCATTGTGTGGGAATTATGAACGCTGTTGACTGCTGACTGCAATTTTGCCAGGAACTCTTTTTTGATAATTTGGGTAATTATGGAGAGGTCATTTTACCCACATTATTTGACTCTGAATTCATAAATTTAAAGAAAGAATATGAATACTCCAGAGGTGGTGAACTCTTCACCACTGGAGACATCTCAGATAAATTTAGAAAGACATCTGTCAGATATTCTTTATCTTAGATTCCTGTATTAAGCAAGGATTGGACTCGATAGCCCTATAAGCCCCTTCCAACTCCATAATGCTATAATTCTATAAGCTTTGGTAATGAAAAATTGATGTAAATGACATCAGTACCGTGTCTCTAGATTTTCTTTCCACTAGCAAGCAATCTCATATGTGTGTTTTAACACTGCAGTATGCTCCTGCCACCCTGTTGGATCAGCAGTGCTTCCCTTCACCAACAGCACCTTCTGTGATCCCAGCAATGGTGACTGTCCCTGCAAACCTGGAGTGGCAGGTCCCCAGTGCGATACATGCATGGTAGGGTACTGGGGGTTTGGAGATTACGGCTGCCAACCGTGTGATTGTGCAGGAAGCTGTGACTCCCTGAGTGGCGACTGCATCAGCAGGTAACTGAATAAATGTGTCGCTACATCACATGGAGAGGAAATGTATCTTAAAAACTTATGCATTTTGAAATAGATAATGAAAAAATTAGAAATCTATAAACATGAACAGAGCAAGTTGCTCTTGCATTATTTTCATAATTACATTTCTATACAGTGGTACCTTGACTTACAAACGTCTCTGCTTGCAAACAATTCGAGTTACGAATGGCTCCGTTCGCAAAAAGTTGCTTCGACTTGCGAACGGAGCCTTGACTTACGAACAAAAAACCCCTTTCCTGCCCCCTTTTTTTTTTTGACCTAAGTTCATCTTAGGTAAAAAAAAAACATACAAACAAAAAACAGCAGGTATGGATTAAATGGTTTTCAATGCATTCGTATGGAAAAGTTTGCCCTGACTTACAAACTTTTCGACGTATGAACCCCATTCCAATACGGATTAAGTTTGTAAGTCAAGGTACCACTGTATTGAATGAAAGCAGAAGAAATAAGTACTAAACTCAGTTGTATCAAATATGTCTTTGTATACATATCAAAAAAAGGGGAACAAGTACCTTTCTGCTCCCTATTCATATTGAAGCCATTTTGGTAAAACTATCTGGATGATGTTAGGCATTACTTGAAAACACTGAAAATTAGATGTAAAAGTAACTTGCATCATTTCACATCATTTGAATGACATCATAAAGAAGATGAATGAGTTAGGTCTAGAAAGTATATACCTTCTAAAATGAGAAATGAAAATTAAAAATGACTAAAACATGGAGGAAGGATGCAACAGTCATGCCCTTCTTTGGCAGATTTGGAGATAAAAACAAAAGGCTGCAGAATATATATGACTACACTTGGTATATGGCTGAATTATGAATTTATTCTGATCCATAAGTGAAAAATCACTGGTTTAAAGAAATTTCATATGAAAGTATAACAATAATATTCTACCCCTGTCCTAAATTTAAATAGTGACATAAAAACTGATTTACAAGAGATCTTGGTAAGATTTGCATTTCTTAAAATCTGTTGGCATATGAACTGGAATATATTACCTTCAGAACTCCAAGCACATTCTTCCCAGACATTATTGTTTGCTGGCACATTTTTTTGCTGAGACCTAGTCTATTGGTCTATCATATGTAGTCCGGAGGGAAGCTGTTGTGTTTTTAGGATGAAGTGGATAGCTGCCAGTGTTGCAGGTGATTTAAAAAAAACATCTTGGCCTGACTAGAAAAACAAAGGAGAAAAAAGATTTAAGATCTCATTGGGAAAACTCACACTAATTCTTCCTGGGGATCAGGTCAAGCTATAACCTCTGAGATGCCAGAGAAGAACAAACCATATAAGGGAAGACATTGAATGCTTAATGCTCTGCCTAATCAAAACTATACATGGAGATCCTTTTATAGACCTTGAACAATCCACACTACTTACATTTTAAATATAGCTATCTTAAAATGTTTCTGTAATAAACATTATATCATTAAGCACACATTTGTGTTACCACGAGGTACACATTGTATACAAATATGCTTCTGTTGTATGCTTCTTCCTTTTAAAAAAATCTATTGGTGTAATAAATTTTATTTGTTTATAGCCACACAAACCACCATTAAGTAGCTGAACTAGAAGGAATCTGAACTAGGTGTGTTTAAATACACTCTGGATCTCAAGTTTGTCAGCTTCTAAATATTTTTACAACATACAGTAGATCTCTATTCTACCAGTAAGAAAATCTAAAATAATATCAAATGGGGAGAAGAGCACCATGCCCTTCATATAGGCCCATTCCTTAGTGCAAGGAATGGGTGTGATCACTGAAATCTCTTCCATGCCATGTTTTTCTGTGAGACCTATCAAAGAACTAAAGCTGAACAAATATCTTTTCTGACAATACTCATAAAAGTATGAAGTATGGATAATTAATACAACATATGCTTTCTTCTGTAATTGCCTGTGACTTTCTGGTTTAATCAGATTGATATTGTATGAAACATTGCAGTGTCTCTTTACTTGCAGCAGTGCAGACACAGACTGGTACCATGAAATATCTGGTTTTTATTCTGCATATAACAAGAGTGAACCAACATGGGGATGGGAGGATGAACAAGGATATTCTGCCCTTCGACATTCAGGCAAGTATATGGACCTAGGCTTGTTTGCTATCTCCTCTGTAACAAGAATCTTATTTTATAGGTGTTTATGAATAAGCACTGAAAAAATGCTATGGATGTGAAAGACAAAAGAGAAAGCTGAGAAAAATCAAAGGAGCCAATGTCAAAATGTAAAATTATGGACATTTGTTGTGTATCTAGACCAACAGCTTACTATTACTTATCAAAAGACAGCTACCGTATTTTACAACTATTCTGGTAAGAGAAGAAACAGAAGTAGGAGTGGAAAAAACATACTGGGCCACTATATAAACAGACTGATTCCATAATAAAAAAAGCTTCATCTAAAAACACACTTAAAAATAATTGCTGTGGTGTTTTCATTTAAATGAGTGCCTTCATTATGTACATTTAGATATGTTTCTTGGATAAGCACTACCTGATATTGCAGCCTCATTCCAAACATGTCCCAAAGAAAGCCCTGATGGATTCAGTGACCAGAACTGTGTTGTGATCATGCAGCATAAAAGGGAAACAGGGCAAGCAACTCTACCTATGTAGCTCCCCAACATCCTTGGGTCAAGAAAACGATTGCACAGAATGGATAGGAACTAGGTGGAAACTGCTTGCCTGATTGTCCTTGTATGTGTGATTTTCTTCTTTAGGATCTTGGCCACTGTGACTTACTTTCCCCTTCATTTACTGAGGCTCACAGACTTGAATGAGACAGAATGTGCACTCCACCCAGCTACTTTACATTAACAATTTTCTGATGAAACCATACTTTGAATCTAGTGTGTGTTTATCCTTTCTTATCCCCTAGCCAATTCTACCACAATTTCAACCCAGATTCCTCTTTCGCTGTCTAAGGGCATTAGGTGTAAGGTCTGTTTTGCAGACTCAGTAAAATTGTACCAGTTAGTTAGCTTTTGTGTCAAGACAGGGATAACAAAATCCATCCCTAGTTGTATATTATAATGAAAATATATGTAACTGTGAAGCACAAAAGGGCTAGTGTGCCATCCTCAACAGAGGATAGGCAGGAGGAGACATCTGAATGTGTAGAGGGAAAACTCATAAAGAGAGAGGAAGATGAAGTGAAGGGCAAGAGGGCGATAAGAGATATGCTTGGTGGAAGATAAGGAGGGAGACAAAGGGGAGGAGCAAGATCTGATATTATGGGAGGAGGTTATAAAAGGAGAGGGAGAAAAGCGGAAATTTAGAGTGGAAGTAGGCATGAAAGAAAGAAGCAGGAGAGATAGCACGGTACAAACAGATGTGCAGATTAGCAAGGTAACAAGGTTTGTGATCTACTGAGAGAGTTTCCAAACCTCAAGACAGGAGGATTGCTATCAGACCCCTCTTCTCCCAGGGGTGATGGGAGGATAGTGAAACCATTAGAATGGACGGTTGTGGTCTACCCCTGCAACCAAAGTGGAGGGAGGGAGGTAATCCACCCCGGTCCCACATGCAACACACCACCCCTGGAGGGGGACTGGGCGACACATCCATGCTGTGGAATGGTGTGTGCTGTGAGGAGTACCCCGATGCGACAGATGACAGACCACGAACACTTTGGTCCAGCGCCGATGTGAGAGGTGGACTATGTATGTCAGAGCCAAAGATATTGAGTTATGGATTGATTCTGGAGTTAAGCAGTTTTGATCCGTTTAACCTTGTTAATCAAGAAGCTGATGAGAATAAAGTTAAGGCTGTTGAACAGTTCAAATCGCCTCCGTCTCTCACTCCTGCCAGAATGAAGGAACCATCACCAATTTCAGAAGAACCCAATCACAGTAATGTCATGATTCTCAGGCTGCTGCTGCTGGACCAGATGTTATTTCAAAACATACCATTTTTTCCCAACACCTTTCAAACCTGCCCCCAATAACCCCAAACTAATCCAAAAGCTGGGGAGAGATGAGAAGAGATGGGGAGATTTTTGTAGGAAACCCTAAAAATAACAACATGTTATTAAATAAACATTGACTTCAAATGGAGTTTCTAAAAGTAGTTTTGTTCAAAAAAAAGTTTGACTTAATGCTGATTTTGGACAAACTTAAGTCATGAACAAATAGCATCAGAAAACATCTATATTTAGTTGCATAACTATAAACAGTTAGGTTTACCCAGTCACCTACTCTCATTCTGATTTTACATTGCTTCGAGACTTTGATCTTAAATCAAATATATTTAACCTTGAAAGATGCTTTCTATATTAATGTATATTGTAGGATGCAAACATTTTGGACTGTAGCTGAGCATTATGATATGTTAAGATACAAATATATTTATGTCCCTTTGAATTCTCAGGTACTGTCCAGCCATATAAAGACACACACATGTGGAATTTTAAGTAGTTACATGTATGTGGGATAAAGAGATCAAATGGAAAATGGGCTGAAATGCTGGTTAGTTTGAATAACTGTAGGGTTAGAAGTAAAACATATGTAAATGTTTAAATATTATTAGTATACTATAGATAAGAAAATTATTGGAAATGTAACTGTATTTATAGGTAATTACTACTTTTTTCCTTTTTTGTTATGTGATCAGAAGATTGTAACTCTTATAATAATAAACATTTATATTTAGAGATAAAGGAAACAAAAAAACCCTGAAAAAATGTATGAGTGATAAAGGAGAGAGGAATGAGTCCACAGATTTTAAAGAATGAAGTGAGCCTTCTTAATGACATTTGTTGGTAGCATGGCTAGGTAAAGGTAAAGCTTCCCCTTGACATTTAGTCCAGTCATGTCCAACTCTAGGGGGTGGCGCTCATCCCTGTTTCCAAGCCATAGAGCCAGCGTTTGTCCGAAGGTAGTTTCCATGGTTACATGTCCAGCGCGACTAGACACAGAACACCGTTACCTTCACACCATGGTGGTACCTATTTATCTACTCACATTTACATGCTTTTGAACTGCCAGATTGGCAGGAGGTGGGACTAGCGAAGGGAGCTTACTCCGTCGCATGGATTTGATCTTGCGACTGCTGGTCTTCTGACCTTGCAGTATACAGGCTTCTGTGGTTTAACCTGCAGCACTACCACGTCCCTTAGCATGGCTAGTCCTTCCTATTTTAATGTGTGTTCTGAATGAGCTTGGAATTAGACTTATTAGAGTTCTATAACCAGTCAATGAATGATTCTGTGTAGTTTGTCTCTCCTCTCCTATTTTGATTCACTTTAGTATATGTTGTAAGAGCCAGTGGGCAGGCTTCTATTTTTATTAATCTTTTTATGACATATTTTCTGTACTTGTCTCATGGGAAATAAAAGTATTCAGCAAGCTGCTCTCTTGCCCATTTACTTGTTTTTCCCCTTAATAACAGCTGGTAAGGCCCAGGATTTTTACCTGACTTTAGCAGTTTAGTTGAGAATGCTTTTTAACTGGAATAAATCGTACAATTCATGTTATAGGACAGACCTGTATATGAACAACTTCAAACGTTCAATAGGGAGACCAAGATAACTATATATTTCATCTGGTGCCTCCAATATGAAATAATGGTAGTTAGAAGACATCAACAAATTGTGGTTCAAAGTGATACAGTAGTAGGACTGACTCATCCATTAAGCAGAATGATGGTAGTAAGATGCCATACCAGTAATAGGTTTGGTAGTAACAGTGTCCCCTCCTCCTCCTGTCATTCCTGTAACTCACCTCATCACTCCCCTTTGTTAGAAGACAGGGCCGTATGTTATGGGGCCTAACCTGTGTTGCCTAGCTAGCCAAACACTCTCAAGTGCAGTGAGGATCCTGTTCTGTTTGCAGTGCTGAAGTATTTGGCAACAGTGGATCAGTTAGCTGTTGTGTATAGAGTATGGTTTGGGGCACCTTGTCCAGCTGAGGCAGCAAAATGTCTGGGGCCAGCAATAACAGAGAGATATTTTTGTATTTCTGTAGGAAAATGTGAATGTAAAGACCAAGTTTTACAACATTCCAAGGTCTTCTGTGGCATGAAATACACATATGGTGAGTTTAAATTATTGCATCTATTTCCAGTTGGACTTGTTCTGTTGAGAACTTCAGTTTTAAATGAAAATGCTCAACAGAGCTGTTGTGTATGGAAGAATGTAGAAATGTGTGAGGAGACTTAGGCCCCAAATGCAGGCGTGTAGAAGCCACTAGTGGTAGGCCAAAGTATGTAGCAGAGGTTTTACATGTTTACTCTAGCAAAAATGTATAGGACAAAAGAAAGGTAGAAAGCAATAGAAACCCTTCCCAGATTGCTTCATAGATGGATACCCTCTAGGGTTAATGTATCAATCTCAGTTTGTGTTTCGCTTAAAACAAAACTTCCCACAAATAGCAAATGCAGTGGTAACCTGTATGTCTCTGTGCTGTACCACTTCAGAATCACACAAATTAATGCTTCTCCATCAAAACAAATGGGCCAAAAGCCTCTTTCATAGCTAAGCCAGTTTAATACTAACAGTTTAACTTTGGGAGGGGAATTACTTCAGGTTACAAAATTACCATAGACATACCATTGAAATTCTGTTCAATGGGTTCCACTTCAGCAGTGGATTCAGTGTTTACTATTTGCAGTTATTGATAATGACAGGTGTACCTATTCACTCCAAGAAAATAAGACATCTAGGGCAAGTTAGATTTTTTTAAATATGTAAATTACACATTTGGGGGGGGTCATAGGAATGCTAATTTCCTACTTATAAGAAATTACTAAATATTTTTATCATTCTGTACTCCAGCACAAGGTAAAATTGCTCACTTTTCTGGGAAGTCTCCCTTTTTTTTAACAGTTGCCTTAACTGTTACAGAAGTTTAACAGGTAAATGATTTTCTGACATGGAGCTGAAATCATATGAAGAACTTTATCTGCTATGGCAGGTAGCTGATAAAAACACAGGGGCTCTACCAGGAAGTATTTGGCAACTGTAGCAAAAGTCAAGGACAGATTTTTCTCCAGTGGATAATATCTCATTAAATATCCATCAGTAATCATTATGAGTTTTGTTACCTTGATTTTCCTAGTACTTCTTTATATAAATAATGGTATGTGACATAACAGAATGCAGAACATGTGTGTTGCAATTATTTGGGCAAAATATAAAAGTATATTCTTTAATTTCTTGACGCTGCTACAAAATAATACAATGGCAGTAGTATTTTATAGTATTCATATAATTCCATAACATTTTAAAACAATTTGCATCAGTTAGATGCCACACAAAGGAAGTGTAATATACTGAAAAGTAACAATGTGATTTCAAATAAAATTGACCCTGGAAAATAATTGTAAGATACTGCATTCTAATAAACTCTGATTCTAGCTTTAAAGATAAATTAAATTAAAATATGCTAGTATCTTGCTGTCTTGCTCTCCTGGTAGAGTGGGAGTGATGTGACTAATTAAATAGTTCCTGCTTCAATTTCAGATTAAGTGTGACTTACATGCAATGAGATGAAGTCACATGTAACCCATAATTGAAGCAGGAACTCTTTAATAGAGGCCATCTGCCACTGCTAGTGATGTCAGTACTGCAGTGTTGGCAGCTCTACAGAAGAGTATACTGTCCATAGGGTTATTTTCCTGTGATGGTAACTGCATTTATCAATGAAGAGGAAAGCACATATTAAATGTGGTTCATGTGCACTTCTAAATGCTTCTCAAGATCACTTGTAGGAATACAACTCTTTATTGCACTGGTCTCCTTTATGTCAAATTATCAAGTGGGTAATGGTAAACAGCTGAAAATCTACTAATCCTTCAGGCAGGACTTTCTAATTGCCACCTCAAACATGAATACAAATCACTTTATGCTGGAGATATATGAAACCTGGCTTATTCCATGCTTTCAAAGACCTTAGCTGTCAGGCTTTGTAGAAGGCTGAGCTTGGTTATAGCATAGCTTTTGGAGGTTTTGTTAGTCTTTAAATTGCCATAGGACTTGGTTATTTGGGCTCCCAGCCAAGTGCCTCAGGAGAAGCTTGGTTTTTTATCATGTTGTTGATGTCCCATTAACCTGGCCTTTCAGGTACTGTAGAAGACCCTTGGTCTTCCAGAGAAATACCTTGCTTAAAGAAAGCAATATGGCTATTTCCTTTCCTGAGCCTAGACAGACCAGGAAGCCTTTCAGTATCCCAGTTTAGGAGAGACTAATGAGAATGAGCTTCAGAGTTCAAAATATACACTTGTAAGCAGTTTCAGGACTTGGAGCCAGCTTCAGGACTATTGACAAAAATGGAAGCAGCACTCTATGCTTGTGCAAGGTACTATTGCAACTACTTGATTAAGATAAACCAAAATATTGCATCTTTCAGCTGTGAATGAGATTCTCAGTTTACCAGAGTGTGTGAATCTCTCTCTCTCTCTCTCTCGAACCCCCGCTGGTTGCTGAGGGTGGATCACAAGGAAAAAAGGGCAGGTAGGGTAGGGGAATGGTGATTCTGGGAAGGATGTGAAGTTCAGGTTTGCTATTCACTTATTAAGGTGAAACAGAGAAGGGATTATTAAATTATTCATTAATGCATTCATTCAATTGATTCATTGATTGATTATTGATTGATTGATATACAGTACTGTCCCATTACGCCAAGCTTTACATTGTGTAGTTTACAAGATTAAAACTTACAATACTCAAACTCCATAATAAAAAATAATTGAAAAACTATATGGTGATGCAATTATCAGTAATTAAACCATAAATATAAGCAACTCTATAAATCTAGAATTACTAAAGAGAAAACATTTTGAAAGCATCCAGGAGGTTCAGCTATTTTATTAGAGTTAGATAGTGCTAGTTGGGGTGGGGATGGAATGGCAGGTTGTATCAAATCGTATTGGATTAGAAAAAAGGTGACTGCTCTTTGACAACATAAAACTAGCAGTTATTCAGCATTGTATCTACCACTGATCAGAATCTCTGGTTCCCTGGAGATGTACAAAGCAGATTTTTAAAATCTGCAAGGCCCCAACATGCTTTGTATGTCATTCATACAACAACTAGGGAGTGGAGCTGCCCTACCTGTCCCCCTGCAGCATCACACACGGACTGCTGGCTTGCTCTCCTGGATGATCATACAGTATGTGGTGTGTTGATATCTCCAAGAGGGAAACCTAGGTATGAGCAGCTGGTTGCATATGGAAGTTCCATATATCTGCAAAGAGGTTTAAACTGAAAATAATTTTAAATGATGCACCTAGTATGCAATCAATAGATGGCAAACTGGAACTTTGCCGATTCTGGATGTTGGTAACATTACCATATTGACTTCTGGATTTTTTTCTTAATGAACTAACTTTCCCCCCCGTAATAGACGAAGATAGTACTGACAGATTTTCTCTTCCAGTACTTGGGTGTGACCTGTTAGTAAAATATGTTCTGCAAGCAAAGTGGCATTTGATAGATGGGGGAAATTTTATTTCTATATTATTAACTACTTATCGTACTGTTTACATTGTGGTGGCAATTAGAGGCTCCCTTTGAGAACTACTGATAGGCCTTGAAAACCAACCGTGCATTACTTGAGGATAGGTGGGAGACCCTAGGATCATGTCGTCCCAAAGCTTCTAGGGAACAAGACACTTTTGAACAGCCAAATTAGTTTTCGTTGTCAAAATATAAGCACTTTAAATCTATAATGGGATGTGGAGACATTGTTTCATTGTGTAGTTTTGTGCAGACATTTAAAACAATGAGTAAGCAGAAGTTCCCAGTAACCCCAGTAGGAAGGAGCAAGCTGTATGTGTGCTCTGTAATTCCTAAAAATCAGGTCACTGAGCATCTTCCTGCACTCTGTCATTGGCAAAATCTGAACAGGCTCTATGCGTAGAGGACATGGCACAGTTTCTGTTCAACTAAATAAAGTTCTGTTCTGTTCACATGAAATGAAATATATAGAAACATCTCTGTGCTGCTCTATTGCTAAGGAAAATTGTGATCATTTTATTTATTTGTTTTATTTTGAAACAACAGCTTGTTTATCTTTAAAAAATAGCTCACTTGTAGCACTCCTGGGACTGGGACTCTGTGGCTGTGTATAACTTAATTGGTTTAAAAAAAGAAAGATAACATTCTTTATTCTGAAACCCTCTTGCCACAGTTCTGAAGGCAAAGATTTTGTCGGCTCATGATAAAGGCTCCCATGCTGAGGTCAATGTGAAAGTCCAGAAAGTATTGAAATCAACAAAACTAAAGATTTTCCGAGGAAAACGGATTCTTTATCCAGAATCATGGACTAACAGAGGCTGTACCTGCCCAATACTTAATCCTGGTATGTATTCATTATGACAAGGACATTTTAATCATTTGGATATATACTTTTAAATTTACACTTTGTTACTTGTCTCCAGCCTCTGCACGCTGATTTTATCATTCATGTATACACAATTAACTTAGGTCTCATATATCCCAGCTTTCTAAAAGCTGCCTTTTGTGCACAGATTCATTTTTTATTCCACATGTTTAAAGTTAACAAAAAAAGGGGGGGAATAGATGCTTCAGAAACCTAAACTGCCAATCACTTTTCTTACTGATTAATGTAACTGAATGTGATGCTCAATGAACCTTTCAGTTTTAGCTTCTTTTGGACTTGTTATATCATGCACTAATCAGCACATCTAAGCCCCGACACAGACTTTGTCAATTTGAATTTTCTCTCAAAGTTGCACACATGAAGAATTCCCTCCCTGATTTTCATGTAGATGTGTAAGATAATGCAACCATTTTTTCAGAGAAATGAAAGATGTTCCCACCACATCTGCTCTGATCATCTAGTAAAGCAAAATACACAGTCCCTGCAACAAAGAAAAATCAGACTTAAACCTCTGATCCAACTCCAGTTATACATATAAATAGTTTTCAAACAGAACTAGGTACAGCTCCCCTTCAATAGCATGGGACATCCAAATGTGTGTCTGGATACGTGTTCCATTGACAATAATAAAATACTGACAGACAACATCTACATTTGAAAATGTGTCTGGAAATGCAATGGATTTGTAACCACATTTTGTGATATGGCATTTCGTACAACCGCTATAAGCAGATCAGGCAGTGTGTTTCAAAAAAAACTGTAGGGCCTTGAGCATCTGTTATTCTTTCAAGTCGATTTTAAAAAAGAATTTTCACTGACAAACTGAAAATATAATAATTAAAGCATTTCACAAAGAATTAAAATGCAGTTATAGGGCATTAAGCACCAAAGGGGGCAGATTAACGTATTATATAGAATGTTGGTCTTGAGTCATAAGAGGCACATGGTAAAATGTGGCCAGTCTGTGTCTCTCCACCTAGTTTATCCTCATAAAATTATTGTGGGGATAAAAAAGCATTACCCCAGTTAAGAGCTGGAGTTTGTTGAAAAAGGGCAGGATATGCATGTATGAAATAATTTAAATATATCTAACAAGGAAATTGACTGACAAGCTTAAAAGCAAGGTTTCCAGGAATTATGGAAAGCATGTACAACCTTGGAGAACAGGATAAACAATTCTGCTTATTTTTATAATTCCAGATATAACAGTTGTGCTCATTAAAAGTACGCAAGTAATAGAGACTAAAATTGCTCTCTTGTAACACTATTTTGTGACATGTTTTATTTCAAGAGAGATACAAATACCACTGTTGTCGCAACTATGTGATAGTATTTTGCAAATAGCAATTTTAGAAAATATAGCAGCCCGTAGGAGCAAAGATTTTTCTTGCACCTATAAATGAAATAAAATATAACATAAACTTAACACCAGTGGTTCTAAATAATTCTCATACATACACACATATTTTCCCTTTATAATTATGTATATAAAATACTGTTTAAATATTAGCCTAATAAATACCTGTATATTTTATTTGCAGGCCTAAAATATCTTGTTGCTGGATATGAAGATGTTCAAACAGGGAGACTCATAGTCAATATGAAAAGTTTTGTTCAGCAGTGGAAACCAGCTCTGGGGAAAAAAGTGTTGGAGATTTTAAAAGACTGTAGCTGAGAGAGATTTCTGCACAAAGTGCAAATTTCAGGAATAAAACATCTATGAAAAACTGGAAAGCAAGGGAATAGTGCCAAATGTCTATAGAGAGGGTATTCCAGTCTTAGCTTTTCACCCTGGCTCTCAACACACTGGTCCAGTTGTATCGCTTAAGAAGACATTGTGTCTTGCTGAGTAAAGCCTCAAGAAATGGATTCCCTCTAACAGCTCAAGTTCAATATGCAAGGGGAATAAAGAGTGTGCTCTAAAGCCAACAATCCGTGAGTGCACAGGTTGCATCAGCTACTGTTTGAGCTCTTCCCTTTTGACTTTCCCACAAACCATCTGTTTGCTGGGCAGGAGAACTATAAGCAGAACTGTAGTGTTCTCTGAATTGGGCCGATCTGCTTAGAAGTAAGCCCCATTAATTCAGCAGGATACTGCCTGTCATCTGGCTGGAAGTAGGTCCCATTACTTCAACAGGGATGCTTGTGAACAACTTAAGTTAATATGGAATGTAGTGTCTAGCTTTGTTGTCCCACACTGAAGTATATGGGACTTGCACTAACTGAACTATTTGAGTGTTGGGACCTCCTTTTCATGTTTTCATGTTCTTTGGAAGAATGTACAGTCGATACACAGTAATGAACAAAAAGACTATCATCATTTGTATCAGTGCAAATATAAAGAGAAATCAACAGAGTTTGTTGGTGTGATTGTATCATACTGTAATAAAGAGGAAAGTTTAATTAGATATCTACTCCAAGTTTCTAGGGCTACACATGCATGGAAGTTACACATTTTAATAGGGAAATTCCACTGGAAAACAGACATGTTGGATCTGTAATATATCACTCATGTTTTTCATTCCATTAAAATTAGTGGGAGAATTTGGTCATGACTAATTGAATTCAATGAGACTAACGTGTGACTAACTTAAAATTGACCACACCCATAAAACCATGAAACTGTAATACCTAATTAGAACATTCCTTTACCAAACAGAACTCTGGGACATTCTTTAAAAACAATTCATAGGACTCTTATTTGGAGCACTTAAACATGCTGGGTCAAACTTTCCAGTCAATTAACATAATGGGATTTTGTTTCAGCCACCAGAATTTAACTCTGTGTTTCTGAGTTACTACAAATGAAAATGGAGCATATTTTTATGACAAATTTGTTTTTTAAAAAAGACCAATTTCATTCATGCTTGATTCCAAGTATAAATTGGAACTTCCCTCCTGAGGCATTACACACATTTGATTGTATAAAGCACTTTACTGCCTGCCCCGTCCAGTGTGAAAATTTTAATGTTGGGAAACAAAGATGGCACAGCAAAAAATGTACACTGAAAGAGAAGCACAACAAAACTAGTGAGATAAAAATGTTTCCTTAATGTCTGGCAGTTGCTACTCAGAAAAACTAAGGATAAAATTTGAAAAACTAATATATTGCATTGAAGTTTCAACTTCAGCTTGATGTTATAGGGACCAGCTATGATAAGACTATATACATTAAAGAAAAATCTTAATAAAATAATGATAAAGTTTTCCTTCTTGAAATATGATGAATTAGTTCATAATTCATGCTTGACTTGGCCTTTGGTTTTTAATAGTACTTAAACATGAAGTTTTCTACATGCAGTTCATACTGTTCCACAGGAGCAAATAATGTATAGGATATATCAAGAACCGCCATTTGCATTATTAAATTCTGCATTTCTCTGCTAATATATAAATAAGTAGAGTTACAAAGCCATTTCAAAACAAAGTATCACATTGTTTAATGGATTATATGTGCTTTTTTACTGTGGTTCTGTGGATTCACATAAATGATGCTGTTCCAAAATTTTGATTTGTATCTTATGTATACAGTATATGATTTGAAAACCATGTATTAAGAATTTCGATTTTCAGTATTCTCTCTAATGCCAGTGGATAACATGACAAGTAAAATTGTAGATATCACCTGACTCTGAGAAGAAACCTTGCAAAGTCTGATTTATGCAAATGAATCTTGCTACCTGAATTAACAATGTAAAGAAGGTAAAGAACTCTTAGAATATCATATCATTATTTCAGTGAAAAGGCTTTCCACATTTTCAGCACATCCACTTATATTATATGTCACTATGTGCCATCAACGTATGGCAACTGACTTATTGCAACTCTATGAATGAATGATCTCCAACATGTCCTGTCCTCAACTGCCCTGCTCAGCTCTTGTAAACTCTGGCCTGTGGGTTCCTTAAGGAGTCAGTCCATCTTGTATGTGATCTTCCTCTTTTCCTGCTGCCTTCCATCTTTCCCAGCATTATTGTCTTTTGCAGAGAATCTGGCCTTATCATGATGTGCCCAAAGTAGGACAGTTGCAGCTTCAACATGTTTGCCACCAGAGATAGTTCAGGCTTGGTTTGATCTAGGACCCAGTTCTTCATCTTTCTGGCAATCCAGGGTATTTGCAAAGCTCTCCTGCAGCACGATATTTCAAACAAATAATTCCCCCACCCCCATCTGCTTTCTTCACTGTCCAACTTTCACACCCATACATAGTGACAGGGAGTACAAGAGTGTGGATAATATTGGTCTTGGTTTCCAGTGACACATCCTTAACCCTGATCATCTTTTCTAATTCCTTCATTGCTGCCCTTCTATATGGGTCATTTGGTGATATCCACGTGTTCAGCAGCCTGAACATATATTTGCAATAAACAGATTGTAAACTTTGTAGTTTGCAGGTTTTGGGATTCCCGGTATGGTGTAGTAGATAGAGTGATGGACTAGGACTCTGGAGAACAGAGTTCAAATCCCCCCCTTGGCCATGGAAACTCACTAGGTAAATATCTTAAATATCTCACTTACTTACTTGCTTATTTAGCTTCCATTACTGCCAGGGCAGTACTCTGTGCAGTTTACAACAGATAAAACATCAGACTGAGATAAGAATAAAATGCTAAAGACAGTAATAACAAATTAGTAAATAACAATAAAAAATAACTATGATAACAGATGCGACAACCAAACCTTGAATGCCCTATTAGGGTTGCAATAAGTGAGTTACAACTTGACAGCACAGAACACATGCAGGTGTTGCAGAACTATGTGAGTCTTTCTTCTGCTTCATTTCTGTCCCTAGACTAAATTTTCCATTTGGTTCTGCTTTTTCTCCTACTTTTGCATTCTAGTCACCTATGATTATGAGCATGTTTTCATGTGATCAATTTCCTTCTGGTTGCTTCCATTTCATCTTCTTCAGTATCTGCAATTCAGCATAGATTTGAATGATAGTTATATTGATAGGTTTTCCATGCAGTCCAATTGATATCCGTCAGACCTTGTATTATAGCCATTAACTGCCTGTGCCACATCTTGACTCAGTATTAAATCCATCCAATTTCATCTGAGTTTCATTTCCAAAATAGAACACTTTATAGTTATCTGACTGAAAATATCCCTGTCAGTCCATTTTAGATTACTGACACCAATCACTGCAATACAGTGGTGCCCCGCATAGCGACGATAATCCGTTCCGGAAAAATCGTCACTATACAGATTTGTCACTATGTGGAACAAAGAAGTCCATAGGAATGCATTAAAACACGTTTAATGCGTTCCTATGGGCAAAAAACTCACCGTTCTGCAAAAATCCTCTGTGTGGCCACCATTTTCGCTGCCCGGTAAGCGAGGAATCCGGGCAAAAACACAGCGGGCAGCCATTCTATTTACCCAGTGGCCATTTTGGAACTGCTGATCAGCTGTTCTTAAAACATTGCTATGCGAAAATCGGTAAGCGAAACGCTTACTGAACATCACGCTTACTGAGCGATGTTTTACCATTTAAAACATTGCAATGCGATCGCAAAAACGATCGCAAAAAACACATTGCTATGTGGATTCATTGTTAAACAAAGCGCTCGTTATGTGGGGCACCACTGTATTTATACATTTCACTTCTTGCTTTATGGTTTCCAGCTTACCTTGATTTATACTTCTCACATTTCATGTTCCAGTTGTATGTCTTATGCAGCATTCACATGTTTCTTTCATTTCTGTACATGTCAGCAACTAGATATCTTTTCAGCTTTATTCTAGTTGAGTCCTTAGCAACAAAACTATTAAGAGCCCGAAAAACCCACAACAACCAAAGCTATTCATATTTGTCCTTTGCTCTTACCCAGTAGCTGACTGAGTACTTTCTGACTTATGACTTTCATCTTCCAGCACTATCTCTTGTTTCATTTTGAACTGTCTCATAATAGGGTTTTCATGCTAAGGAAAGTTCAGTAGTAGTTTACTATTACCACATTCTGTTCAGTACTAACAAAGGTAAGCTTGAGTATCACCACCATTGCCTCATCAGTGTCACCTTCAGCTAATACTGCTGGCCATTAGCTGTCACACCCATCGCCATTGGAGTACCATTTTCAGCACAGCTACTTACATATACTTATACAACAACTCTCAATTTCACATATGACAAGCTGACTGTAGCCGAACTAATGATGGCAGCCCTAACTATAATGCTGTAAAAGTTCCTTTAGAGAAGGAAATAAAAAGATATGCTTCCTCATTTCAGGACTGATAAATATGGACATAAAAGCTGGTATTTTGAAAATGGAGTGCTTAGCAACATAGTAAAGAAACATTAGTTGTTTTGAGAATGACACTCTTCCTAACTTTATTTTCTATGAGGCATCAGTAGATCACATTTTTCATTGTCAAGGGATTTGCAGGATGATTGTGCAAAGATTCAAAAAGAGATGTTCAGCATGCATTCCATGGTTATATTAATAAACTCATGGGAACATAGTGATTCACATTATTTGCTACATTTTAATCCCTGTTAGGAAGATGAGACCGTGAAAATAGACATTATAGTTAGTGCTTCACTTAAAAAAATTATTGTTTCAGCAATGCAATGCAACAGAATGCCAACAGTCAAAGGATTTCCAATGCTGGAGAACTTGCCACTTCTAACAATAAGCTCTTATAGAATCCAACTCAGCGCTAGGTTATTGACCATGATACTGTCACTTTAAATTTCGGAGCAGAAATTAAACTGTAGTTTAACTGTAGTTTCCTAGTCTGTCCACTACTCAAAGTTGGTTCTCATTTGTGCCAGATACAAAGAGGTAGAAACTACTATGCTAAGATGGGATGGTATCATTATGCCATGTACTGTAACACTCCTAGGAAAATGTCCCTAGTTGTTGAAGGGGAGAAGTAGCCAAGGAGCATTTTTAGGGAACAACAGATGGGGTTCTGAAGCCTGCAATTTGCTAGGGTGAAATGCCATTCCATCAGAAAATACAATCACTTGCTCAAGGTCACATAAAAAAACCTCTGTGAGAATAATGTTATTAGTATGGATGTAAACATGCACAGTATGTAACACTGTTGGTGCACTGAATTTCTCTGATTTGACACCCATTCTTGTGTGGAATCACAATTCCCATCATCACCAGCTATCATGTCTATTCATGCTTATTGAAGGTGATAGCATTTGTACTCCAAGACATCTGGAGACTCTAGATCATGGAATAAGTGTATGTTGTAAAGATGTCCCAGAAGTGAAGATGCCATAAGATGCTCATAACATGCTGATCTTCACCAAGGTTGGCCTACACTTCCATGAAAATTCCAAGGGATTGTTCTTAGTTCCCTGCTAGCAGGGAGTGCATAATATTATGGTGATCATCCTCTGTTTATACCTTGTGCATGAGTTGAACTCCAGTGTCCAGGAAAAGTGTCACATGAGGACAAAGAGCTGTGTACCAGGAGCTTTTCAACTTATGAAGACAGCAAGTGAATCTTTCAGCAGGCTGTGGCTCAGTGAACATTTTGCTACTGAAAAAGGATTAGAGTGGAATAAAAGCTCACTAACAGGAAACAATCTGAACCTTAAAAGTATAGCATGTCTGGGGCAAAAGAGATGGCGACTTACCTGTATTGAATGGAAAATTATACAGACAAGTTTTATTTCAATGTACTGTAATTACTTCTGTTGGCTTAATCCTCATGTTGTTGAAAACAGTGGAACAATAGGCACTAGTGAAGTATCTAAACAGAGAGTTGACCTTGGTGGAAATTAACACAATTGTGGAACAAATGTGTAGTTTAAATTTTAAGTATAATTATCTGCTTCTGTAAGAATAAGGGGCTGTCCCAAAGGCACAAAACACCTTTATACATGCCTCAGGGCCAATTCTTGGCACATTTAAAATATAGTTTGCAGATAAGCTACCAAAGTTGCTGGCCCACAACGTTTTTTAATTTCTTGCTGAATTTTATTTTCAGTGACTGCGAGTTCTAAAATCTAACTCTGCAGAAAGGTCAAAGCAGCTCACAACTTCTTTCCCACAGTTCAGTAAGAAAAATATTTATGAATGTCCCTTACTAATCTGAGGGAGGGCAGGACCATAGGGAGAAAAATGATGCGGGGAAAAATATCTCTGGAAATATTCTATATATGGAAAGAACTTCTTCACATGTTGCAACAATGGTATAAACTAGTGTTTATGGCAAAAGATTAGCAGGTGCTGATTTTAGAGTTCAGCATGTTGGTGCCCTTGGAGAAATATTAACTCCCAGTATACAAACAAGTGTTCTCAGCTTGGCAGTTCCCCATCCCAGACTCCACCAAAGGTTTCTTGAATTCCAACAGACAGTCTTTTCCTGGCAGCTGTCCCTGATGTCCTTCTACGCCATTTCTAAGCCAAGTGTTATGAAATATCAGATCCTCTACAGGTACATTCACTCACCATCTTTGCCCATTTTTTCCCTTGCAATATCTCCCTTTGTTGATTTCCCTCTGTTGCTTCTCTGTGGGTTTGATTCTTCGCACTTTTCTGTTTAGGTTTTGAACCCATTATTCATATGCCTTTGAAGAGAAATACAAGGAAGAAATTGAATTAAAATAAATCTATCAATTACATGATACAAAACAGAGAAACATAAAGCAGGATGTGGACAACATTAGGTACCCTGGCACAAGAGAATTCTGGGAATTAGTGAACTAAGTAGTAGCTGATCTCAGCAGAGCAGTTAGAGGGCAGCACTCTGTCTCATCTTGCATTTCCTTCTTCTTTTGCCTTCTGGCACCACATCCCCTTGGACATGCTATCTGAATCTGGCCCATCTGGCCTTCCACTGCTACCTTCTGGAATGTGATCATTTTAGATGACATCTCAGGATGAAAATTTCATCTTAGCATGAATGGGAAAAAACATGGAAGAGATACTTTTTTCATCACTGGTGTTTTTCCCGTCTCTTTCCAGAAGAGAGCCTCTGAAACAGAAATCATCTGTGTTAACGGACGAGGACTACATGGATGGTTCACGTTCCATCATGTTTCCATCCTTGATGTAGCCTTCCTTTCACCCTATTTTGTGTAAAACTGTTCAGGAAATGTGTATTCTAATAGTGTCATGTTTTGTATTAAAAATTAAAGTCAAATAAGGACTTTATAGCTAGTTTGGTTGGTTGTGAACAGCATAAGAGAAATAAATAACTCAAAGATCACCTTCAGATTTCTAAAAATTGGTTTAAAAAGGATGGTTAAATCTCAAGTTAAATAATCAGAATACAGACATTGAGTGTTTCTTTGTAGTAGATTATTACAATGGCAAGGGAGGGAGAAGAAACAGCAAATTTGTTTCTCTCTCTCTCCTCTTCCCTCTGTGTGTGTGTGTGCGCGCGCGCACGCATGTGTACATGTAGAGTTTACACATGAGAATGTCTGCATACGTCTTACATTCAGAGCAAAGCAAAATATGGCAACAGCAACCTCTGTCTGCCTGAAGTACATGTGCAGGACATTTCCCCCCATTTTTAGGGTAAAAAGTGAAAGTAAGAAAACAAAGCCAAATATTTCCTCATACAGCTTACTTCCCCAAAAGCTTTTCTCCTCAGAGAAATTCTGCTGTATTTTAGTTCTGGAAGACTACTTGTAATTTTCCATCTAGTGCTCTGCAGGAGGTATGGAACCAAGCACCTCAGTACGTATTTGCATTTAAAGAATTAATAAAAATTCCTGGCTCTTCAAAAAGCTTCCACCAACATTATGACCTTGACATTTTTATCACCTCCTAACTTGTTTTCTCCCTAGGTGACCAAGTAGATCAAGTACAAATCTCTTTAGCAAAGTATGCAAGCGGCAGTGTTCTCTCCAAACAATGCAGCTCCTCAGTTATGGTGCTTCAGAATGGGAAAACAAGAGAGAACAAGGGCAAGAATTCACAGGTTCCATTTTATCCTTATGTGAGGGCACCCATTCTACTGACTGCTATTTAAAGCAGAACTATCTACCTGAAGAGATTTGCTGATTTTTTTTTTTAAAAAAGTCAAGACACATACAGTAGCATTGCTGTGTACAATTTCTATCTCACAGTTTCCCATAGTCAGGGTAGATGACATATTAAAAATGCTATATAATTAATTTAAAATGCCCAATGAAATTAGTTATCACCTTTACAATTTTGAATACTGTGATTATGATACTGTATAGTATGTCCTTATCTTTGAAAAATGTATGATTATCAATATTTTTGGTTGCCCTTGTTTATATAATAATCTGTGAAATCTGATTTTTTTTCAAGTTTTATTTTTTTCGTTACCTTTTTTTTCATTCTGTATCCTGGGGGTTTTTTGAGATTTTTTTTTAAGAGACAGCTGAAGCAGAATAACCTCTTGCTGTGAATTGCAGAAAGACAACACCTCTGAATTTCTGAGTAAGAACATGTTAGTCCACAGTAAATATAGCATGCTTGAGATTCCTCACAGTTATTATAATAACAAACATGCTCGAAATTTTAGTGTGGCTACCCAGTTCATTATATACATCTGAAAATGTAGCATCTAGACTCAAATCAACAAAAAAAAACACTGCACATACTATTATAGATTTTTATTGTTCATGAACATTACAGGTTACAGCAGGGAGAGGCAGCTGCTGGTACTTCTGTTTTAGATCTAATTACTGTACTCTATTTTAAAATGTGCATAATCAACTGGGTAGCAACAGACATGTATTTATATACATGGATCTAGCATAACTTTTGTAAAATGTTTAATACCTACTAATAAGTAATACATAATAATATATTTAATATGTATCAAAATGCAATGTTTTGGGAGGATAAAATTTGTGTAACAGCATCTGCAACCATTACTGCTTCTGAAACATTCCACTGTCAGAGGAATGAAAAGAATGAGGTCAGATGGGATTCAGTGTAATTTTAATTGGTAGTATTTTAAACTGTAGACTTTTTCTGCAATTGGGATGTATAATGAGATAGTTCTGCTGCTTCTTTCTATAGTTCTATATAATGACCTAATATAAACCATTTGTTCCCTACATCATACTGTATATTCTTTAAGATCACTGGACTTGGCATTGGTGTACAAATAATGGTACAGGGATGAAAATTACCGTATTTTTCACACCATAAAACGCACTTTTCCCCACAAAACAGGGGAGTGGAAAGTCTGTGCGTCTTATGGGGCGAAGAAAACAGATTATATTTTCCTGTTTTCTTCTCCTAAAAAATTGGTGCGTCTTATGGAAAGGTGCGTCTTATGGAGCGAAAAATATGGTAATTCCTTCCCTCCTATGTTTTGTGCATGCAGTCTTGTATATATGTGGTCCTTGGGCTGCATATATATATTAGATGTGGGCCAAATAGCTGAGAAAGTTGCATAGTCCTTATTTGGTTCAATACTGTGTCTCCAATGAGGTTAACCAAATGCTCTACACTAGTTTTACCTTGGCTTTATCTTGTATTCTTCTTATTGCCATTGCTTTATCATATACTGCTTTTTAACTACTGAATCTATAACTTATGAACACAATTGGAGTTATTCTACAATTTAAAATGTAAGTAACCAATCGAATTACATAAATAAGCAAGAAAAGATGGTGATATCCAAATCTATAAAATGTGTTTGCCTGTCATTCTGCCATAACCTTTGAAAAATCCTCCTTACTTTCTGGCAGGATGATACTTATAACCTGGGGCCAAACTATGAACCCCAGCAAGGAATTCTCCCTTGGTTTAAATGAAGGCAGAATTAGTATCAGCTGTAGTTCCCATTTCTGAACCAAAGGCTCTTACAGGTAAAAGAATCAAATTATTATAGAGAATCAATTGAGAAAGAATCAGAGTGCTCTACTCCAGCAGTTGGGAGAACCTTTTATTTCCTCCTTTCTCACCAGCTGTACTAAAGATTTACAGCAGACAATTCATACACCACAGGATCAAAATACAAGCAAGGAAAGGGGGTAGTAAGGGAGCTTTTCCTCATGTGTGGGACTACACAAGAATTCACAATATTGTGCAAACACCTTGTAATTTGTAATTTGCACAAGGTTTACCAATGACAGAACAGATCCACTGATGTGAACTATGAAAGTTTTCACATCTGGTTCTCACTTAAGTGTCAGGCTGTGCCTTGTTACACTACAATTATATTTAATGCTCCTATATGCAAAAATGTCCCTTAAGCTAGGTAGTTAGAAAAAAATTACAGGAAAGGAATTCTGCTTCAGCCTCTCCCCAACACACTAGTTTTTAAATACAGAAAATATGTCTTATGAAGTAGCATTTCAATCCTACTGTGCTCTGAAGTGGTTCTGTCAAAAGACAGGGTTTACCATACCAAAGAGGACCAAGCAACAGATGTCTGGGACTGGATATGTCATTTCTTTGAATTAAAAAAAAAACTGGTCAGGATCATAACAATGATACTGATGAAGACGTTTAACCCTCCCCTCATTTACCCTATTGCCAAGGAAAATCCCTCTCTTCCAAAGCTGCTGTTTGTCAGATTAATGGAAATGTATAAATACAGGCTATATTAGCACATGTCCTTAACACAACAAATGGGATCTTCTGGGTGGTTATGATGCAGAATTAATCAATTCATTACACAGTGTCCCAGTCCCAATCTGGATAAACTCACCTGCCCTAATTGTTTTTTCTCCAAAAAGGTGGAGATCTCATCACAAATCACTGTAATTTCATCTGGTTTAGCCTTTAGGCTTACACTACAGCCCAACCCAATATTCTTGCTATTGGCAGAATACACACCCAGATAAGTGGATTGCAAGCTAAAGAACATATTGTTAATGTACGTATATTGTAACTGTATACTGGTACTGTACTGTAAACTGTCTTATGCGAGCTAAGCCCTAGAAGAAAGTAATTATAAAAATAATGCTAATGCTACACTCTCTTACATAAGACACTCAAATTACTGTGAAATCAATTGCTTTTTTATCTTGATATACTGTGATAAAATATAATATTAAATAACAAAACAGATAGCCTCATCAAATGTTTTCAATGTATATTAGAAATGTTAATATATTATGCCAACTGACTGGAATTCCTCCTTCATGTGATGCCTTAAGGTTATTTATGTTTCAGGTACAGCTGCAAGTATTGGCTTGTTTCAGTGTCAGGAACATCTATTTAATGTAAAGTTATTTGTAGCTGCACAGTATTAAATAAGCACCGAAGTCACTTCACTGAAAATGGAAAGCATTATACAGCTGGAAAAATAGTAAAATTGCTTTTAATTTTACAACAAACAACTACAACAGTATACCAAATATATGGTATAGTTTAAATTATTTTTACCTGTATTTTTCTGTTTAATTTATAAACTGTTATGTGATGTCAAGTCACCTCTGACATATGGCAACCCTACAAATGAGTGACCTCCAAAATGTCTTATCATTAACAGCCCTGTTCAGCTGAACTTAAGGTCCTGCCTTCTTTATACTAGCTTTATATAAATTACCTTGAAGGGCTGGAGAGACAAAATTATTATATACCGG